CGGTTGACCGGTTGAGGCATCACCGGTCGACCGGTGCATTTAGCCTTCTCTGTCACCGGACGACGTAGGTCGACCGGATGACACTTAATTTGCCTCAAATCTTCACACATTTGTACTTTTAGGCCAAATGTCATTATGCACTGAGTTTAGTCTCATTTTTAAAGAATAATGTGACTGTGTGCATGAGCCAAAACAAGAATTAATCATGACAGTATGAAGTCAAAATCAAATACAAGACTAAGGAGATATTAAAAAAAAATTAGTACTTGTCCAGTGTTTGCTTGCTCTTGATCTTTGATATTTTAGCACTTCAAGCCTTGAATTCCTTCTTCAATTTACATTTGTCAATCTTGAATGTATTTGCATTGTATTCCTCAAAATGCTTCTTGAGTTGATTTATAACAATAATTACGCTAAATACACAACTCAAAATAGAATCATTAGAGACATAATACATTGTGTTTGTGATCATCAAAACATGAGAATATTCAACCTTGGGCCAACATCCAGAACCTTTTCGATATAGTCCTTTTATGATAACCCAAGGATACCTTGAGAGCGATCTCATAGTATCTGAATTCCTAATACAAAAGAGGCGTCACCAAGATCTTTCATCTCAAAATTCTTAGTAAGAAATTTCTTGGTTTCGTGCAATAAGCCTATATCGCTGCTGACAAGTAATATGTCATTGACATACAAAATCAGGAAGATGAATTTACTCCCACTGAACTTGTGATATACACAATCATCGACCACATTCACCTCAAAACTATAGAAAGTGATAACTTGATGAAATTTGTGATATCATTGACGGGAAGCCTGTTTGAGACTATAGATGAACTTCTTTAACTTGCATACCATAGACTTTGAATCTCCAGATATAAAGTTTTCTAGCTGGACCATATAAACCGTCTTATCAATGTCGCCATTGAGAAACGTTGTCTTAACATCCATCTGATGTAGCTCTAAGTCTAAATGAGGTACAAGTGCCATAACTGTCCTAAAAGAGTCTTTCGAAGAAATCGGAGAGAAAGTCTCTTTGTAGTCTATGCCTTCCTTCTGAGTGAATCCTTTGGCAACTAGACGAGCCTTATATCTTTTGATGTTACCCTTCAAATCCCTTTTGGTCTTAAATATCCATTTACAACCTATGCGTTTCGTTCCTTTAGGCAACTCGACAAGATCCCAAACGTCATTGTCTTTCATAGATTTCATCTCATCCTTCATGTCATAAATCCACTTTTGAGCATTAGAACTCTGTAAGACTTGTTGGAAGTTGATAGGATCATCTTCTCCTAAGCTCACACCATCTTCATGTTCTTGGAGAAATACAATATAATCATCTAGAATCGCACTTCTCCTTTCTCTGGTGGATCTCCTTAATGACACTTCTTGAGGTTGTTGAGTTGCTCTATAGGTGTTGCATGGAGAACTTCATTGTTGTCTTGTTCCGGAGTTATGTCTTAAACAATGACAGGTATTACAGCCTGGTCATTGACAATAGCAATATTGGGAAGAGAAACAAAATCTTCTTCCTCAAAGACAACACTTCTTACTTTATCTTCTCCCCCAAACTCGACATCCTCAAGAAATCTTGCATTTCCCGTCTCGAAGAAGGACCTAGTAGTGGGATTGTAAAACTTGAAGCCCCGAGAGCATTCAGCATATCCAACAAAGTAGCAGCTGACCGTTCTTGAGTCCAATTTTTGTTCATTTGGCCTATAAAGCCTTGCCTCTGCTGGACAACCCTAAACATGTAAATCCCTAATGCTGGGCTTCTTTCCAGTCTACAGTCCATAAGGGATTTTGGCCACTGCTTTGCTTGGAACCCTGTTAAGGATATAAACCGCAGTCTTTAGTGCTTCTCCCCAAAGTGATTCAGGCAAGGAAGAATGACTAATCATGCTTCTCACCATGTCTTTAAGAGTTCTGTTTCATCTCTCAGGAACACCATTCATGCTAGGCTTGTCCGGCATTGTGTATTGCGGGACGATTCCACATTCTTTTAGGAAGATAGCGAATGGTCATGGACGTTGTTCACCTGATCCGTCATATTAGCCGTAGTATTCACCACCACGATCTGATTTGACAACCTTAATTTTCTTGCCTAGTTGAAGTTCAACTTCGGCTTTAAATTCCTTGAAAATGTCCACTGACTGTGACTTCTCATGTATTAAGTATAGGTAACCGTATCTTGAATAATCGTCTATGAACGTAATGAAATATTGTTGACCATTCCATGAAGCCGTAGAGAATGGTCCACATATATTTGTATGAATGAGTTCTAAGACGTCTGTAGCCCTGTCGGCACCTAATTTTCTTGTGTTTGTCTGTTTCCTCTTGATGCACTCAACGCAGCCTTGAAAGTCTGTCAAATCTAGGGGACCAAGAATTCCATCACTCATAAGCCTCTGAATTCTCTGTTTAGAGATATGACCTAAACGCTTGTGCCATAGGGTGGCAGAATTCTCATTTAATTTTTGCTTTGTACCTCGTGCACTAGTGTGTAAAATTTCATTATCAGAAGTAACAGTATCAAGCATATAAAGATTATCAATTAAAGAACCAGTACCAACAACATTTGAATTATGAGAAAGACTAACTTTATTATTTCCGAAGGAACAAGAATAACCGGATTTGTCCAAACTAGAAATAGAAATTAAATTCCGTCTAAATGACGGTGCAACAAAAGTCTCAATCAAATCCAAATAGACACCAGTCTTTAATAATAATCTAAATGTTCTGATAGCTTCAACTGGAACTTTCTTGTCATGACCCACAAAGATGAATCTTTCAGCATCATCTGGCGGTTAGTTCCACAGTCAACCGTGCATAGACATACTTATGTGAGTAGTGGCACCAGAATCTACCCACCAAGTATCCTTAGGTACAGAAGCTAAATTAACTTCAAAACAAACCATAATGAGAGTCTTTCCTTTCTTGCAGAAATAGCAGGTGAATTTCTCATCATGCTTCTTTACTTTCTTCTGCTTCGGTGTTCCTTTTGCAGTATCCATAGCTATCTTTTTGTTCTTATTCTGAGAGGTTGATGCTAAGTGAGCACTTTCAGTCTTATCTCGCTGAAGCCTTTCCTCTTCTTGCTCACAATATGATATGAGCTCATTAACAGTCCATTTTTCCTTTTGAATGTTATAGCCCACCTTAAATTGACTGTATTGTGTAGGAAGAGATATGAGAACTAAATGCACGAGCAAATCCTCAGACAGCTCTAACTTTAGTGCCTTTAGTTTCCCAGCGATGTTAGACATCTCCATAATGTACTCCCTTATGTTCCCCTTTGCATTATACCTCATGGAAATGAGTTTATTTAGAAGGTTATTCGATTCTGACTTTTCATTCTTGACAAAATATTGCTCAAGTTCTTTGAGGAACTTCTTGGCATTAGTGCTCTCAGTAATAGAGCCCCGAAACGCCTCTGGAATGGAGCGTTTCATGATCATTAGACTCATGCGGTTAGAGCGGTTCCACTTTTCAATTTTATCTGTGTTCAGATTTTCCATAGTAGCAGTGGGATGCTCTGTCCTGAGCGCAAGGTCTAAGTCCATACATCCGATAATGATTTCCACGTTCTCTTTCCAAACTTTAAAATTTGTCCCATTCAGCATTGGGATTGCGTTAACTTGAGCAGAAACATTCACAGCAGTAGCAGAAACTAAATAGAGAACAAAAATAAAATATACTCACAATCAACATTCATGTCATACATAAGCATAATCAACCCTATAATGCATACATGACATAAACAAATAACTCGAAGCAAGGTGGTGGGCCCATTTTAAGATACCTAGCATAACAC